TCAAGAATACAGAAGAGAAGGTTAAAAGTAGGAATGTATGGTTTAACAGACTTTTATTTGAAATAGGTTTGTTTAATCCCATTTTCTCTCCAAAACACCATGTCATAGAGTGTGTCTGAGTATATCCATTTCATTAAAAAGATTAACGGCCAGATTTCCCAGAGCGCCAGCAGGAATGTGGTGATTTAATGGATAAACTCATCATGGTTTAACACTGACTGATGTCAATATCTTCTCATGATAGCGCATGCAGGTTTTGTGAATTGATCCACTGTGTTACTGAATTTTGTAAACAGAAAAGGAGAGATGACTTTCAACAGAGATATTAAAAGCCAACAAGCTTTGTTTTATGTGCAAAATTAAAAGCATGGAGTAGATGAGAATCAACAATATTGAGAATGCTTCAAAAAGACTCATAGATAAATGATGAACCCTTTGGAGTGTCTAGAGAACTTGTAAAAAGAGCTTAAAAGGTAGGCTGGAAAGAGGGAGGAATGTGTACTGAATCATAGGGGAATTATACAACCTCCTGGTAAGAATCTCTTTAGAAATCTTGGTTGGAAAATATCACAGAATTTAAAAAGAAGTAAAATAAATCCTTTAAAACCAAGATCTAATTTAACAACAACATCAACAAAATGCAAGCTACTTTAATTATCAGTGTTAGAGTGACTAGTTTGAATCAAAGCACAGAATTATATGATTTGCAGAGTGAAATACTAAAAGAGATGCAGTACTAATAGTTGAAAATATCTTTTCTATTCTTTCTAAGTAGTGTTAGCAAATCTGTACTGGGGTGAGGGTTTCTGGCTCCATACTTAGCAAAATCTCTATCATTAGGCTTACTGCCTAATGGGGAAAGAGATGACTCAGAAAAGTAGCAATGAAAATGATATGCTGGAGAAGTAAGAATTAGTAAACCAAGTGTAGAGCATACGAGAAAACGAAATGTGAAAATTAAGGTAATTAATTGTTTCATTTTGTCTTTAGGAAAGAAAATAAAATCCCTATTGCATTTCACTTCACAAAAATGCAATCACATCCTCAAATTTTTGTCAGAGAAATGCAATGGCTTTTGATAAATTTTCAGCTAAAATCTATACTGTGTTCTGTCTGAATCACTTTAAATATATTTTCTGATTGATTGGAAAACAATTGCCTACTCTTGGGTACACTAACACACAGCCAGTATAAGTATACAAGGAGCAGAAATGCATGAATATCGGGAGATATTGAACTTCAGAGTTTAGAAATTAGCTGCCAGACTTTGTTCAAGTGAAAATATAAATATATATTAAAAATTAAATTAACCAGCAGGAAATTTATCAGATGAACATATTTGTCATTGCTTGAAAAGAGGCAAGACCTTCTAAAGCAATAAGACTGATGACTGACGGTAACACATGAATTTGTGAACAGATAAACTTGTCAGAAACACCTGAGAAGCCAGCCAGGAGACACACTCTGCTTTGCTGTGTTCCAGGCTACTATGGGGTTTTACTAGATAGAAATGATAGGATTTTGATAATTTTAACTTCTATATATAAAATCAGAAGTAGTTGTCTCCTATGTATTTTTAAAGTGTGTTTTTCAAAAGACTCTACAGTTGAAATGTCACAAAATGTTTATAAAGTGACAGACTGATGTATGTATTCAGAAAAAATTCCTCCCATGTGAGGAGCTGAAGTGTTTAAATGCCTGACAAACTGCTTGTCTTTCACCTAGTATTGGCACTAGGAAATAGGAAAGCTATGGTAAGTTTTATCTTAGGAGACGTAACCTTACTGACAGCAGAACTGTGGACTTGGTATGTCCACAGTGTTGTGACAGAGAGAAAACCAAGAGGATGGGCAGCAAGCAAACAAGAAAACCTGTGCAGCATCTGTAAGAGTGTCTCTGCAAAGCTCAAAAAGATTTGTCCTAGAGATGAGACAAGCTCCACATTCTCCTCTGTAGTGTTCAGGATGATATTTCTGGTTAGTCACCCAGCCATTTATCCAACCGCATCCATGGGAATAGTAAGTATGTGCATTTCTGCAGCTTTGAGAAGCAGTAAAACAATTCCTGCAGAGCACTGATCCACGTCACCCTTGGCAGAAGAATGGGATTCCTCTCCCAGCACCCCCGGCACCTATAGGCAGGACTTGTCACCAGGGAACCTGGCCTCAAATGTGGAGATGTTTTTGTTAGAGCTGGAAAATGTAAATGAGTTAGGCTCTCCTGGGCTTTAGCCTTTTCATTATGTTTTCCTTTTTTAAAGAAGATTTTTTTTTAAACATCTTCCAACTAAAGACTTGAGTTTCTTTGTGATAGCAGTAGGATTTGATACCTATAAGGCACACATTAACTGAGTTTGCTAGCTGATGCTAATGCAGATCAAGGAATTTGTCCGGTCCAAACACATAGAAGACTTTTATTTTCTCTCATGTTGAACTTTGTTTATCTAAAGATCGCTAATCTAGTCATTGTTCCTGTCAATGATTAGATATGGGGACTTTTAGGAGATCACCGTATAAATGGCATAAGTCATTTGTTCTGGTGTCTTTCCACTGAGTAAGGATGACAGGTTTACACTTGACACTGAACTCTGGGATGGCCTGATGTGTTGAATGCTAGAAAAAAAGGAGTGAAACTATAATCACTTGCAGTTGCAGACTAAATAATATATATCACTGTTACACTGGAATGATCCAGGCATCTGTGATGTAGATTGTGATATTAGCCAGCTTCCTTCTGATCATACTAATAGAACTTATCCCAGCTACTGAGTTTTAAGAAAAGCTTAGCTTGTAATAATACCATTAGTTTTTTTTGTTACCCGCAGAAAAGTCTCCTGTACTTCTTTCAGTGATTAAACTGTTGATGGCTAACATACTTCCCTTCTAGAACCTTCCTTCTAAAAATTTCAGAATCTCATGTGGGAAGATTAAATTCTGTTGTTCACAGGTCCATTTCACTGTTGGATTTTTAGGATGTTTTCATGATTTCTGAGCTTTACCTGGTTAATACATAGTACTCTGTACTGACTGCAATTAAAACTGCAGTGGTAATTTTTCTCACTGTGTAAACAGGCCTGTATGTACTTTCCCTGCAAAGTAAGAAAGCTCGTACTCAGTTTTGCCAATCCCAAACTAGCTCTAGGCTTCAAAAATTAACACCAATATTTTATCATTTCACATCATCAGATTCATTTATAGGGGAGTTGGGGAGTCACTGGATTCAAACAGGATCTGTAAAATACACACAAACGAAGAAAGTACTCTACAAAACCTTGGCCTTTTGGTTCATATGTTTCTTGATGACCTAACAAAATGCAATTACTATTAATCTGACATGAAATAATCTTGTCTTAGTAAACTTCAACGATTTTTGCTCTGAGCTGAGGAATATTTCAGACATTGTAAAAGAATCCCCCACACTAATTTTACTCCATAAAATGCAAAGAAACATGCACCAGAATGATGCTGTTAGAGATGCCTAACAACAGGGCTCTGCACTGAAACAACAAAAACAAGATTTTCTGGATTAGTTTGATTTGTTTGGAGTCCAGAATCTGCTAATTCATTGAAAAGTCCTTCAGCCAACAATGTGCCCTTTCAGACATGCATATCTATGAACCTAAGCCATAACTGCTAATAAAATGGCCAGGGGATAGCTTAAATGCGTTTTCTAGTTCTTCTAATTTGGAGAAGAGATTAGAATTTAGAACTCCTAAGCCCTGCATTACTTAGAGAGAACTCAGGCTGTCCCTTTTACTTTTAATAACTTTTAATTTTACTTTTTAATAACTCACTATTTCAAAATGTTAGTTTCAAGGTTCCTGTAAACCATTGTCTGAGCCACTAGACTGCCTTTTCTGGTAGACGTATTTATTTAAATTAAATATTCGCTCTGATGGCTCTACTGTCATTACTGTCAGTGCCACCAATGCATACCTATATTTCTATCTCTGTAACATCTCTCTATCCCTTCTGCACCTCATCTCTATATCTATATCATCAAAATCTAGATCTATATGAATCCGGTCAATCATTACTTCTCGTTTGTAGTCACCTGCTGGTCTGCAAAGACTAGCCGGATCCCTGCAGTGCTGATTTGGCACCTCTCTAAGTAGCACTGCCTGTTACTCAGTAGGGATTTTGCACAGTACGAGAACCTATAGACTGGCTGTACCAAAGTATTACAAGAGAGTTTTAAATAGAGAGCAGTCAGTGGGTGCCTGTGGCCTCATTTATTTTTGAAAGTCTGTATTGATGTACCTCCTCCCCAGAATTCAAATGGAAATCTGGGAGAAGATCCCTTGAAAGACAAACAGGAGAATGAGGAAGACCCTCTTTACCCCCTGCATTAACATTTCAACCTTGCCTCAAGTGCTTAGTGCTGAGTTTGAGAACAAGGGAAATGATGTCCTGAGGCTTCAAGGCACTACTTTGCCTTTGTTCAGAGGTAGGCCATCCTGTCTATACAGATCACCGAGCTTTAGCAGGAAAGGCTCCCTTATGTCCTAAGAAAGTAATAACTTCTCTTCATATCACCACTATCTTGTTTCTGCAGCCATACTGCTAATTGACCTTTGGTATCTGTGATATCAGAAACCATGCTTAAAAGCCATCTGTGCTTACCTTGAAAAGCCTACCTATTCATCAGACTCAGCTGCTGGCTAATGAGTCCTCAAATATGACATATAATGTCCAAAAAATTAGATAGATTACAAGAACAAGGCCAATCATCCACAGTTTACATTTGATTGTAATAGTTGACTGTTTTTTTTTTTTTTTTTTTTTTTTTTTTTTTTTTTTTTACTTTTGTAAGCTTCTGTGCAGTATTTTACAAAACAACAGCTACAAAAAGAATCAGTGATTTACACCATTCACTGATGTGAAACTCACAGGAAGTTGTTGATGCATAAAATTTATAATCTGACTCTAAAGAATGATGTGTAATTCAAGCCAGAAATACTTTAGAATCTGAATTTGAAATTCTTTTTTTTTTTTTTTCAGTGGGACTTCTCACCCCAAGGCACACCTTGACTGACCTAAAACATAAAATACATTAAATACCAAGGCAGCTAGCTGCCTATATTGGAACTGAATGCGATGGTAGTTAGGATAAATTTATATATAAGACTTTCAGAAAGCCAGAGAGGGAAGGGAGACAAGTCTCTCATGGACATCCAAGAAACATGTGTCTCAGATTGCATGTGAAGGAGAAACAAGAAACTCTGTATATGCAAGGGCTGCTCCAAAAGTAATGTCTCCTGTTTTTATGTCAACCCATGATATCAGAGTTGGATATTGGTGGTATGGTAATAAAGATGGAATCTTCCCTCCAAAATTCTGTTGTATTTTGCTTCTGTGTAAGAGATAGCAGCAATGAGAGAGTCTGACACAATGACATCTGGCATAAAAGTGTGTATGAAGCAAAGCTGTGGAGCTGAATTCCTCCATGCAGAAAAAAGTGGCACCCACTGATATTCATCTTGTTAATTGAGACCAGACAGTAGATGTAAGCACAGTGAGGCAGAAAAGGTTTTTTTTCAGTGAATCAAAAACCAAAACTTTACAACAAATAAGAAATCATCATAATCCCTGGCAAAAATAGCTGTCAGTTAACTTTTTTTTTTTTTTTCGCGCGTGTGTGTGTGTGATGAAGAGCTGAATTGATAACATACATAAGCGCAACATATCACATCTTATCAATATTTAGTGTTTTATTTTGCACCTACATGACCAAATCTTTTTTAAAGTAAAAATTTGACAAAGGACCACAGTAATTATTTGAAAGATTTCTGATGACTAGAGTTGCCTTCCTGAGAAATGAAGTCTACTTTTTGCAACGAACATGATGTGTGTCATGTGTACAAGTGTGTAAACTACTTCTTCTTTTTTTAAATCTTACTAATGAATAGATCTTCTGTTGAAGGTGGGAGGTCAAAAGTTCGCATCTTCCTGAAGAACCATCTTGAAGAATGAATGCATACAAAGTGATGTGGTAAAACTCTTTATGTATGGCAGAGCAGTATTGGCAGGTAACCAGGTGAAAATCTTATGCCAGTTGTAGTTTCTTTCATATTTAAAATAAACATAGAATATACAATACAATGTATTATTTTAAATACATAATTGAAAATACATTCCTCTTTTCCATAGCTGTATATCATTTAGTTATAGAAAAATATTTGTGTCCCCTCTGGTGGTGATGATAACTTAAAGGCAGTAAAAATGCAGGAAATATAGCTCCCAGTATAATTGCACATGTTGCTAGTAAAAGGTTATAAAGAAACACAGAAACAGGAGCATGAATTCTTACTGTTAAGTATGCTTACTATTAGACTCTATATTGAGAAATCATCTACAGACACTGCAACAGCAGGATGTATGTAGTAGTAGTAATGTTCTGGAAATAAGTGAATGTAAAACAAAACATTTCTAACTTCTTGATCATACATGCATGAAGTTAACAGTGAGAAACCCGTCCTGATAAAGTATATTTTTCACATTGTTATTTCTATTCCAAGTTTACCCAAAGATCCTGGGTGAACTGTCTTTGTACTAGGTACTGCGAAGATATATAAGAACAAAAGAGCCTTCACAATGACAATTACTCTAACCTTGCAGTAGTTCGGAGAAATAGAGCAAAATACTTTTACCGAACAAATGAATTGAAAGCATGGAAAGATGAAATGACTTTTCTTTGAATTCATTGCAGAAAAACCCTCCATAAATGATAAGGTAATTTCATCTTAGTCCTGGATATGTACAAGATTCTCTCTGTTTTAGTAATTAATTACCAGTGTATCCTTTTCATTGATTACTTCATAAAGCATCAGTGATAGGATCTTGTACTGTTATCCCATTATATCACTAAAGCATTAGTGACCTCCTGGAAACTGGGTCTTCAGGAACAGATTCTAATTCAAAATACAGTGCTACCCACATTAAAATCCTCATATTTTGCTACTAATTTTGGTAGATTTTTTTGTCTATCCTGAACAGCAGTTTCAGTTGATATATGAGGGCTACTCCAAAAGTTATGCCTCCTGTTTTATTATGTTGGCCCAGGACATTTGAGGCAGACGTTGGTGGTATGGCAGTAGAGATGGAACATTCCCAGCAATATTCTGGTTTGCTGCCTTGTGACATACGGCAGCAAAGGGACAGTCTCACAGAATGGCATCTGACACGGAAATGCATCTGGAGCAAAGCTGTAGAATTGAATTCCTTCATGTAGAAAAAAATTAGCCCATTGATATTCATCAATGCTTACCGAATGTAGGCCAAACAGTGGATTTGAGCACAGTGAGGCAGTGGGCGTGTTTCAACAATGGTGACAGTGGTAGTAGGTCTCTTCCACTGGTGCAGATTTATAATAATAACAAATATAACAAATAATGTTATTGTGCTCTTTGTATCCATTGTAGTTTCCATGGGAATAAATATGAAGCATTACTTTTGGAGCAACCAATCTTAATGAAAGTTATGGAAAGCTTGGCTTATATTGCGAAAGGCTTTTATTTTGAGGCAGGTAATTCTTACTTCCATGCTGTACAGTACCTCCTGGCATCAATCCACTGGTCTTATTCATCCCCATTTCTCAGTACACTCATGCATCTAGGGCTCTTACACACTTATGAGGGTGTCCCTGTCAACAACTGTGAGGTGAAAAACGTTGGATTTATTTCTGTTGATTTAAAAAATCTTCACTGTATACATGCACATCAGAACCAGTCACATTAGTTCTACTTTTACGTTAAAGAAGAGCCTGGGTTAACAGGATCTCTACTGCTATTTTTTTTTTTTACCCTAAACTGAATCTTGATCTTAGACTACCACTTTATTTCCATTTACTGTGAAAGGCAGATATAGCATCTGGATCAAATGTAGATGTCTAAAACATAATCAATGAGATAGTTCCCACATAAGACCTATGAAAGCTCTGAAAATAAAGTCTTCTTTAAAGACAATCTGTGCAGGTTTCTGCTCTAGAGTGAATTTCACACACTGGGAAGAAGAAATTATGAATCTCTTTTTTCTAAGGAATAGACAATATGTTCAGTTTGAAAATTTTATTTTCTGTAGGACAATCACTCTCTAAAGAGTGAACTTTGTGTCCTCAATGGCTATGTTCATGTACATACACAAAGGATGCAATGCATTAACGTGCTACTAAAACATATTGACTGCTTATTATTAACAGATGCTTTATCATGCCATGAGAAGTCTGAATCAGCAATTTGCCTATACAACAATTTGCACAAGGGGTGCAGTGAGAATGGAGCTGTGACACCCGAAGAATAATTGCTGACCAGTTTTAAAAGCATAAATTGAAATGCAAGAGTTGCAAGATGTCTGAAGTTAAGGACTTTAAAACTCCATTAATGAACATTTCCTGAAATGAAAAAATGTCAGCTATGCTAGTCAGATATTGTGAAGGATATACTTACTACGTTTTGCATTTTGAAAAAAAAAAAAAATAATAGCCTTGCAGGAAAAATATTCTATGCACTGTGGAGAACACTGAATGCTGAAGAAAAATGCCATAAGGGCATGAGAAGGATGCAGGCTGGCTGTAGTCCAACTCCCCATTTGTAGCTTATTGCTGTAAAATTTCCATACATTTCCCCTGAGTACAATGAAAAACTGTGTAAAGTGATACTTCTGGCTTTGAATGAACTAACAGCACCAGGGAATTCTTACAATAAAATGGAAGAGGGGCAGCTTATACAGTTCAATCACTTTTTCCTTGGAAAAATGGATGCATAAAAATATTGCAAGAGCTCTGCCTATAATATTTTCACGGAGCGTTTAAACCTTGTTCCCAGACATTAGGCAACTTTGTGAGAAGTGGATCTGGGCACCAGCAAGCTGGAGCATGCTTTAGACATTACTGAAGCTTTTATAAGGTGTTGTACGTAAGACGTCCTCTGCAGAGCTGCATTTTAAGCTAAGGATCTAGTTAATTGTACTTGGCTAACATTCAGTTCTCTAAACTGAGAATTTGACAGGATGGCTCTGTTTGCTGAAGTCATGGTACTCAAAAAGTGAACTGAGGTAAGCAGCTGGTTAGAAAAGAAAATTAAAAAGTGTTTTTCTATAAGCCCCATATAGACATGCTCAAGGTTAGTATAAATTAGTGAATGGGAAGACTTAAGCTCCTGAAAGTCAAAATGTGCTATGGGTTATACCAAATATGTAACAAACCTTATATATAAAGGTCAGATATGCAAGGTTATTTCAATTTTGTTCCATTTAATGCAGGAGGTAAGAGTTAAAATACCTGACTGCACTGTCTCCAGGGGTCATGGACATGCCCCCAGGTATGGGTTGTTTGAGGTGTGTGCTGTAGGGTGTGAAGGTGCTCATTCAGCCTATCCACAAAGAGCAGGTCAGACATACAAGGAGGATGATGGCTGGATTACTGCAAAGCAGCTAAGAAGGCAAAATGCTTAGTTTATTGGTTGAGCCACAAGTTGAAGAGTACTTGTTTTACTTAGCTGACAGCATATATACAACATATTATGAAGTAATGCCTCCTATTTTATTATGCTCTCCCATGACGGCAGAAACAGATGATAATGGTATGGCAGTAGAGGTTGGACTCTCTCTATGTAATTTATTGAAGTGCACAGAAATGACATAAAAATGAAGTTCAGAAGAAAAAGAAAGTCTTTTCCTTCCTTTATTTTTTGCTGCTCTCTTCTACAGACTTCAGTGAAATCCTTGGAGTACCCCAAAACTACAACTTATAATTTATGATTCTTCTACAACTTATAATTTATGCTGTTAGTAACAGCATAATGAGACTCATAACCTTTGGCTGTATCCCCAGTCTGTTCTCTGCCCTGGAGATTCAGGCTTAGGTGATACCCTCTCAGTGCCCATGGCTGAGCACAGGTGAACCTTACAGGCTTGTGCTTCACAGAGTTAAAAAAAAAAAAAAAACAGACATGGTTTAGATTTTCTTGTCTATTTTAACATAAAAATGCTTAGAGAAAAATCAAGAGGGAAAAAAAAAAGATATGGTTTGTGCTGTCTTGCAAGGCCCTGAAAATTTGCAGCAACTTGTATCTATGCAGGGAAGCAACTTCTAATTTCCAGAAGT